TATAAACACACACACATGCACAAAATCTTAAATTCTGTCCCAACAGAAAATTATTATCTTAAAATATACATATTGTACGCTTTTGTGCCAATATTATAAATTGTAATTTGTTACTTAATTGTTTAAACAAACACTATTTTGATTTGTAAACAGAGCTTTATTGGTTCTATTTAAACTCATCTCTCAGTTAATTTTATTCAGCCAAGCTGAGAATGCCATCAGAGATAAGTATGAACATTTTGAAAACGAATGGAGTTGCTAATTCTCCCACCTCACCTTTAAAAGGAATTGGATTTAATTTGGCATGGAACCTAAAGAAAGTAACAGACCTCTGAAAATAAATAATCTGATTACAGTATAGCTGGGAAAATAATTCTCTTCAGGTATACAGAAGAAGAATGTCCCAGCAGTGTAATATTGATCCGACTGATAATAAAGTTAACAGCACAATTGAGCATAAATGATCTGGCAGTGTTGGTAACTTGATATCTGACCCAAATAGTATAACAGTGCTGGGATTACTGGAGTTCTTTACAACTGGTTAATCACTTTTTGTTTCCATAAACCATCCACTTTATGGTTTCCTTCTGAAGTGACCTGCACTGATTTCTCAAATGTACGAACAGCAGTAAGGCTGATAAAAAACTTCACTGATTAAGTAAAGATTGTTAGTCATGTTCCCCCTCCCCCCCCAAATAAAGCAACTCAAGGTTTGAGAATGATCAAGCTGGCAAACATAAATGCTCCTGTTTAAGATACCAAATTCATCTATAGATATTCCAGAAACAGTTTTAAGATTCAAGATTTAATTCATGTGTGGACAAAATAATAATTAAAAAAAAAATCATTTCTACAGAAGTATATCAGCAGATTGCGGTGTTTATGTGTTACTGCTGTTTTCACTTTTCCAAGCCTTTTTATGCCCAATTATAACCAAAAGGCCACAATGTGTTATTCTTGCTAAAGCTGAAATGAAAGTGGTTTGCACAGACACTGTGTTTAATAGATTCTGCCATTGCTACTAAATGTTAATAGATCTAACAGTTTTCACACATGGTACCAATAATGAGTGTGCATTTGAAATGCATCACTTGTGCTTGATGTCAGTGTATGGCAAAGAGCCATAATTAAGCTGACTATAGTCAACGATATAGCAAGTGTATTTTTTCACCAATTTACAGAAATGCTCGTGGAAAAAACTGACCAAAAGAACAATAAATAATCTAACATACTTTATGTCAAGGGTTAAATACATTCATCTATCATGGAAAAATAAACAAACATTTGTCATATTTCTTTTTTTCCCTAGGAGATGAATCTTTCTTTTTTATACATAAAAGGTTAAAATTAGTGTTTTACACTTTGCAAACAGAAAAAAGTTATGCAAAAGTATAAAGCACTTGGTGTAATGCCTTAATGCAATAATAATAAAAAAAAAAACCTATAGCTATTATGAATCTTGTTATAATCCAGTTTAATCTCCCAAGTGAAATTTCAACAGGGCTATATACATTTTAATTTGGACAAGTTCTTTGAGGTAACATTTCCTAGTTTCCCAAAAGGAACCATGGAATTTTCAGTATCAAGTGCTCAGAGCCTCATATTTAAATCTCAGTGGAAAGATGGTATTTCCAGTAGTCCACTGTATTTATTAGTGTGCTGCCAAGAACTGATTTATTGCTGACTCAGCATAAAATATCCTATGGGATAATTAAGAAAAATCAAGGTTTCTGTTTAGGAAAAAGAGAGAAGTACTTTACTACAGACTATGGGCCAAAGAGTGTATAGAACATGTAATACAAAGCTCTACTTTTGTTCTGTAAATACCACACAAGCATGTGAAAATTAATTTTAGACAGTTCATTAATTGTACAATGAAGAAGTCATATCTGTATATAACTCCTCATGATGATGAAAAAACAGCCCAGAGTCTCTGTTTTGAGGTTCACTGGACCATTCTCTCCAAACTACAGAGATTAATATTTTTACCACATTATTTAGAACGAACATTATATGGAATTAAATGGTGGAACATAATTCTGATGTGGAGTTCAATGGTAATAATTCTACATGCGGATAGTTCTATATGTAATGAAAAAAATGTTTTCCTAGGAGTCATACAAGCGCTCTATCTAAAAAGTATTAAAGTTGTGTTTGAGGAAAAACAGTGAATGAATCCCAAACAATGCCCTGCTAATTTCTGTTCTAAAGTCATCTGTACAAAAGAGAAATAAAATTACTGTTTTGACATTCCATGTTTGCAAGTGAAGAGACACCAAAAGTAGCACAGAAAGATTCAGGGTCATGGCTATCCATGCTCAAATTCAGCTTATATTTTATCTTAAATAAATACAAAACAAATTTCTCATTCTACTGAACAATGGAGAGGAGAGGGGGATAGCCCATAAATTGTTCCGGATTGCAAATAAAAGGAACTCTTTATTTTCCCTACAGTTATCTTTAGATATTTCTGCACTGAATTTATTTCTGTATGGATCTTGGCTTAGGTGCATTCTTTTAGGCTTCAAAGAGATCCACCACCAATACAGCATCAATTCACGTATAAGTATGACCTATTCAAAAAGCTTCTTCTTGTCTGCCTTGCATGGCCTTTCCATGGTCTTTCAGGTCTGTTGGATGATGATGATGATTTTAATTTCTGCCTGATTCTACTAATTTTTAGTGAATTTCTCTTCCAGGTGCTGTCACATTCTGAGTACAGTTATCTTTAGGAACAACTTTTCAGGAACCCCAAGGATGTATAGCAAGAAGGGCGAGGTGGGAAATCCTCTACAGAACATACCACCATGATCCTACATACTGATTTCACAGTTTAACTGAAACAGATGTCTAAAAAGGAATGTAATGTCATAAGTATGAAATACCTTTTTTTTTTTCTGAACAAGCAATATGGTAACAGAAAAACTAACAAAAGGACATGTGATACTAGCCCACATCATTATAAATAACAAGGAAAGAACAGATATTCCAGCTATAGTATTCTTTATTAAAAAGCAGTTGAGTCTTACCAGCTATTACATGGCAAGCAGTTTTTACAACCCACAAACATTCATATGGCACATTCATTTTAAAACCAAGATCCTTTCCAGACGAAATGCCAGTGGAGCAAGAAATACGGC